ATAGAGTTGAAGAAGGAACTGTTAAGTCAAAGGGTTTAAGATAGACTATAGATGAGATTCGGATGGGCCTTCAGAACTTAATATTAGAAAAATAATCCGGCGGACTAGAAATTTTTTATTTTTATTTTATTTTTTACATGTCGCAAATTTTTTTTAGAATATTAATGTTTAATTTTTTGTATTTTTTGTTAAGTAAAAATTATTATTTTATTTATTTTATTTTTTTCTGAAATTTTTTTATTTTATTTTCATTTTTTTAAAATTTTTTACATGTTGGGCATTTTTTTAAAACATTAATGTTTAATGTTTTTGTATTTTTTTATTTGTTTTATTATTTTATATTTATTTTATATAAAATAATTTAACAATTCCTACACTAATAACTATTATCAAAACAAACACAATTTTACTTAATTTCCTCACTAACAATCCCCTCATTATCAATCCCCTCCATTCTACTTCTGAAAACAAACAGGGCCTAAAGGTTTAGGGTGGTTTGGCAAAAACTTTTTTAATTGAGTTTTTAGTTTTTTTAACTTTTTTAGTTTGTGATTTTTTTGTTTATTTAGGTTTGTTTAGTAGAATTTTGTAAATATGATTTGAGAGTATGAATTGTATTTTGAGTTTGTGAGTTTTGGAATTATGATTTGAATGTGAAAAATTTGTTTGGTGAAAGAGTTTTGAAATTTTTTTTGAATTGAGTGGAGAATTTTTGATGTGACATATGATATTTGATACAAAAACTTACAATTCATAACTAAACATACAACTCAAAATTCTATTAAAGCACATAAAAAAAATTTAAAAAAATCAAAAAATATTTTTTCCGAATATATAAAAATTAACATATGTCAATTGTAATAAATAAATAAATAAATAAATAAATAAAATAATTTGCGTCGTTCCGGTCAACTGGCCGGACGATCGGTGGGACGACTGGTTAGGCCAAATTTGAATTTTTTTTTTTGAAAATCACGCCTCAGACAGAGTTTTGTGCATAGTTTTGTAAATATTGTGAAAATGTGATTTGAGTGAATAAATAAATAAATAAATAAATAAATAAAATAATTTGCGTCGTTCCGGTCAACTGGCCGGACGATCGGTGGGACGTCTGGTGGGATATCCGGTGGGACGACTGGTTAGGCCAAATTTGAATTTTTTTTTTTGAAAATCACGCCTCAGACAGAGTTTTGTGCATAGTTTTGTAAATATTGTGAAAATGTGATTTGAGTGTGGTATCCAAATATCATGTTGGAATGTGGGGGTAGAAAGGGCTTTGATTGAGACCCCCAAGTCTCCAACCACTCCCATCACCCCCACACACACGTGGGGGTTGGTCATTTGATAAAAGAAAAAAAAAAGAAAAAAAAGAAAAGCAGACCAATTATAACCCATTGGGGGTTCTGGGGGTCACCCCCAGTGGCGGTCTAGGGCTTTTTTTGGGATAGAAATATAGTTTGGAAATCATTCCGAACAGAGCCTTAGTTTTTTTGGCTTGGTTTTTTTGGCTTTTTAGTTTTGGAATGACAAACTCTCTTGTCTTTTTGTGATTTTTGACTTTTTTATTTTTTTATCCTTTTGTGATTTTTTAATCCAAAAAGAAAACCAAATCGGGGCTCAATTTGAGAATTTGGCTTAAAGGTCTCTTTTTGGAAATGAGTTAAAAATCACTTCTCAGCTTTTAATTTATTTTGAATCATATTATCTCTCATATTTTTACAAATTTTTTCAAAAAAAAATTAAAAAAATTAACTTTAAATCAATTTCCTAAAATAACCCTAACTAACAACTTTTCTTTTGCAATAAATATCTGCCATAAGCTTCTCCATCTCCATGAGCGTCTCCACCATGTTTTAGATTGATTTATGTAGATTGGAAAAAATATAAATACTCTATTATCATAAATTTTTATTCAATACTACTATCCTTTAATGTAAATATCATTCTTAAATCATCCGTAATAACATGACACGAGATTAAAGCTCATATGATAGAATGTTTGACAAATTAAAATTTAATACTTATTAGACATATCATTAATGATATTTTTTAGAAGTGATAAATTTAGTGTCTAAGACCATCTCCAACGCTGAACCAAACCCAGCATCAGATTTAAATTTTGATGAAAAACCCACTTTTTCACGCTCCAACGGTTGCACCAAAGTCATACCAAAATGAGAATTCAGCAAACAAGACATCAAACTGAGATCAAGACACAGATTTTACCAAAGATTCACGGTTGGAGATGCTCTAATTAATGATATTTTTTAGAGGTGATAAATTTAATGTCTAATTATATGGGACAAGAGATTACATGTACTCGCTAGATTAAGCCAATGACACTATGAACACTCTAATAAGCCACCCCAACTTTAAGATAATTTTTTTTTCAACTTATCTAAATAATTTAAAAACAGAAGTTATAGCAAATGATCTGTCAAAAAATCCCCTCCCCCCAAAAAAAAATCATAAATATTACAAACAAGAATACACGTGTTGCGAATAGCTTGAAATATTGACTTTTATGAGGACCTCTTTCCCATCATTGCAATACTCTAAAAAGTTATCTTATTTTGGACTCGAACACAATTTTCTTCTCAAAATGAGTATGAAAAAAGAAAAAAAAGAAAAGAAAAAAGTTTGATTTCAAAAGAAAATCATATCATTATAAGAATTTGATAAAGATGGAGGCTTAATCAGCAGAGCTTTGTTTCTAGGTTTTCATCATTTGGCTAAAAAGTTTCATAAAAGCTGAGGAAGTAAAATATTTGAATCTCTTGATAATTGACCCAGTAAACTATCTGTCATTTTATACATAAATTATAGGTTATTATTACTATACAGATTCATATGTTTCTTTGGACAATTACGTTCTTGGAAAATATGCTGTGTTTGGTGAAATTTTGGAAATGCACATTTTGGTTTGAATGTTTTATTTGGTTAGAATTTTTTAAAATTGATTCCATGTTCACTTTTAAAAATACATCTACTTAGTCTTCTTCCTTTTTTTTTTTTTTTTTTTTTTTTTTTTTTTTTTTTTTGGGGAGAGGGGGCAATTGACACCTGTTATTTTTTTATATTTTATATAAAAAATATTTTCAGAATTTTTAAATTTTTTATGAGTTTCGAATGAAATTTTGAGTTGTGTGTTTGGTTATGAGTTGTAAATTTTAAATCAAATATCATATGTCACATCAAAATTCCAAACTCAATTCAATTTTTTTTTTCAAAATTCATAACCAAACAAATTTTCCACTTTCAAATCATAATTCCAAAACTCATAAACTCAAAATATAATTCAGTAGCGTTTCGTAGAATTTTCTAAATATGATTTAAGAATAAAAGTTGTATTTTGAGTTTGTGAGTTTTGAAATTATGATTTGAGTGTAGAAAATTTGTTTGGTGAATGAGTTTTGAAAAGAGCGAGAAATTTTTGATATGACATACGATATTTGACAACTCAAAAATATATTAAAAACTCATAATTTTTTTTTTTAACATTTCAAAAATATTGTTTTATTAAAATATTAAAAAAAAAAAACACAAGTGCCACTTGCCAAAAAAAAAAAAATGGCACTGTCAAGTCAACCGGCCGGACATCCGAGGGATGACCGGTAGGCTAAATTTCAAAATTTAAAAACTTGCCTGGAATGAGTTTTCAAAAGAAGGGGTGAAATTAATTTTCGAAAACTCAAACCAAATATCATACTAGAGTATAGGGTAGAATTATGATTCCAAATCTTTCCAAACACAGAATTCTAAAACTCTAGGTGTTTGGCAAGTGGGTTGGGGCTAAAATAGCCACAAAAGACAAAACAGGCTATTTTAGCCACAACAAACAAAACATCACATCCAACCATAATCATTACACTCTTCTCTCACAAAAAAAAGCCAAAAAGTCAAAAAGTCAAAAAGCCAAAAAGTACTTCCCAAACCAAGCTTTTTAGCCCAGGCTAAAATAGCCAAAAAAGCCAAAAAACCAAAAAGCCAACCCACTTCCCAAACGGAGGCTAAAATTTCAAAAAAGTGATAACACGCGTTTGGATATTCTTGGCACTGAAGGGTCTTTTCGCGTGTAAACGTCTTTATGTAATCTTCCAAAAAATACAACTAATACGAAACTATTGAAATATTTGTTGAAATCTATCAACTAATCAAGATTACAGAGACACAAAAATAGAAAAGAATATATATCCCACTTAGAGACCCAGAGCACAATATTTTTGTTATTCACTCGAACTGGATTAGGTTCACGGTCATTGTTGTAAAACGGCCTCTCCTCAATTACATGTACATAAAAATTATGACAACACATCACAAATGTGAAAATATCCTTATTCCAATTTCAGAATTTGTATTGAAGTGATTAATGTCACGTTCTTATTAGAAATAGAAGAAGAGATTATCTCTGGTCTATGGTTAGACTGAAAAGTTGCTATTATGGCCGGTGAAGCCCTGAGAATTGGTGGAGGTATGGTTTGGAATCAACAAGAAGTATAATTTTAAAAATAATCTAGTTATTTTTTTTCAAACAAATATGATAAAATTATATAATTATGAATATCAGAGCAATCTAAATTTTTTAAAAATAATTTACACAATTTTTTTATTACAAACTGAATGATTAATATTATCGAAATGAGATTCGTGATGAACTTCTACAAACCCCAACAACACCCCTTTAATCCAACAGTGAACTACATAGAACTCCTTCCCAAGTAGCAAAATCACACCACCTAATTTTTTTTAGTTAATTGTGAATACAATTATAAGCCTAACCACCATCAATGTTTTTGTCGTTGAGCTTTTCAAAGTCAAGCCATGGCTTATGTCATTTCACTCTCTAACCAATTGAGAGATTAGAGACCCAAGACTTTAATAAAGTGTACATATACAAAAAGATAAAAACCAAAATACCATTTCCTTCTAGAGCTAGAAAAATATTTCTCAATCTTGTAATAGAAAATGATGGTTGGTTTATGATTAAGACTTTGGAAAGCTCTTCTAACCCATTATCAATTCCCATCATATCACCCCCATATAAACTATCTCTCCATATTAATTTTCTTCAACACTTAAAAATTCATATCTAAAGAGTACTTACCATTATGGCTCTCAAGAACCAGTTGAGAAGTGTGTTTTCCAGCTGCTTCAAGCCCGAAAATCCAAAGCCGGATCGAAAAATTCTAGTTTCCAAACAATACTCATTCCAGAGGCTTTCTGTTTCGGATTTGAGTAACCCCGGATCACCCCTCTCCATCGAAGACCTCTCAAATTCTGTGATTGGGTCAAATCTTCATATTTTCACACTTGCAGAGTTGAAAATGATCACCCACAACTTCTCATCCAGCAATTATCTTGGTGAAGGCGGGTTTGGACCGGTCCATAAAGGGTTTGTCGATGACAAGATTAGGCCCGGGTTGGAGGCCCAACCGGTTGCTGTTAAGTTACTGGATTTGGATGGCACTCAGGGCCACAGGGAATGGCTGGTGAGCTTTTAAAACTCTGTTTTCCTTGCAATTTTCTTTTCCTGGAAAATGTTTTTTTTTTTTTTTCTCACAATCATTTTTTATTCTTGAATCTTGATCAGGCTGAAGTCATCTTTCTCGGGCAATTGAGGCATCCCCATCTTGTGAAGTTGATCGGATATTGTTGCGAAGATGAACATAGGCTTCTGGTTTACGAGTACATGGCACGAGGCAATCTAGAGAACCAACTGTTTAGAAGTAACGTTTCAAAAACTTTTACATGATTTATTTTTGGGTTTTTCAAAACAGAAATGGTTTTGGATTTTCGTATATTCTAATTTTGTTAATACAGATTTCAATTCTGTTTTGTGAAAACAGAATTGGTCTGTTTTTATTTAATTATATATACTCCATATGATATGCTTTGAAAAAAACAATAACAAAAATTAACAGAAACATAGACTTCTTGTTAAATATATATATTTTTTGGTTTATTCGAATGAATGCAGGGTATTCTATTTCATTGCAATGGTCAACAAGATTAAAAATAGCAATTGGTGCTGCAAAAGGCCTTGCTTTCCTCCACGGCGAAGAGAAACCAGTGATTTATCGTGATTTCAAAGCTTCAAATGTCTTGCTCGATGCTGTAATCTACTATCTCTTAAACTCCACTGAATATCTAATGTCTCATTATGCATTTAACACGACATGAATGGCTTTTTATAATTTATTATCCTAATTTTCAGGATTACACTGCCAAACTCTCTGACTTTGGGCTAGCAAAGGATGGTCCGGAAGGAGATGAGACACACGTCACCACACGTGTCATGGGCACACATGGCTACGCTGCTCCCGAGTACATCATGACTGGCAAGTCACTAAATTTTAAGCATTGAATTAGCTTGTAATTAATACCACTAAAGTATATGATCTAAATTTTTAATTTTTTTAAAATTTGAATTTTAGGTCATTTGACAGCAATGAGCGACGTATACAGTTTTGGAGTAGTTTTGTTGGAATTACTAACAGGGAGGAGAGTGGTGGACAAGAAACGTCCCGCGAAAGAGCAGAACCTGGTGGACTGGGCCAAGTCACTTATGAAGGATCCCCAAAAGTTGGACCGGATAATGGACCCGAGACTCGAGGGCCAATACTCAAAAGAAGGGGCTAGGAAGGCTGCATGCTTGGCTTATCAATGCCTGAGCCACCAGGCCAAGGCCCGGCCCACAATGAGTCATGTGGTCGAGACCTTGGAACCTCTTATGGACCTAGATGACTACCCAACAGAGTCATTTGTGTACATTGCTCCCACTGAAGGTGACAACAAACCAAGTGTTGTTAGTGAGAAAAAAAATGAAAATGAAGAAAAAGAGATCGGTGGTTGCAATCAGCAACAAAAGGATCAGAGGCCAAGGCGTCGACATAGGTCGTTTCGATCACGGGCTGTCTACTCTGACACTGCTCTATATAAAAAGTTCAAGAATGGTTTAAACTCTCCCAATTAAGCAAGAGAGAGGGAAGGAGGCATTAAGTAGAAGAAAATGCAAATCAAAGTGTAAAATTAGAATTAAAGTTCTTTGTTTAGACAAGTTTGAGTCTTTGTAAAGTGTTATATATATACTCAGGATTAAATCCTAAAAAAAACAAAAAAAGGTGATTGGTTTTGATGTACAATGGCCCAAGTTAATTTGTTCTCTTAATTTGAGAAAAAAGTGAATTGTTTTGTTGTACATGGTTCTCTTAATTTGAGAAATTTCACTGCCAAAGTTTGCGGCGCATTGACACTTGATTGTCCAAGTTAGATGTTTGAAATTACTTTAGTTACATAGTTAAAAATTACAAAAGTTAATTATCTAAATATATTGTTATGGCAAAGACAAATATGAGAAATACTATAACATAAAAAGATTTATGTAGTTTGGCAATAAACAAACGAATAATGACAAAAGAATTTCCCAACGAATATAGAGATTAAAATGAGCTGCTACTCTCTCTCAAAACTTAGTTGACAATGTTATAATAAATAATATATTTAAGGATTCAAAGGTAGTAAATTGCGTCAAAATAGATCCAAATATAAATATCAAATAATACATGTCATGCTTGTGCAATAAATAATACATTTTCTAAGTCGAATTTGACACACTCAAAACATGTACACAACATGGGCATTATGATTTCTGTTTATTTTGTTATGTGAAATCGGCTGGGGTTTGATTAGACATAAAGCCTATAAAAACAATTTGGTTATTTTCTGTAGTACCTAATATTTTTTCTGTTTGGATAGCCATAAACATTAATAAGTAGAGGAAAGCCATGTTAATATTTTTAAAAAATGCCACTGGATTTTTTTTTTTTTATTATTTAAATCAGCACGCTTTTAACAGCCGTCCATACATATACATATGCTAGATGCTGTGCACATTTATATGGATGTATTTGAAATTGGCATTTCCAGAAAGATTTGTCAGTTATAGAAGGATAATCTAAGAATAAAAATTTTGTGACAAAAAAAATGTTGATGCCAACTCAGTCCTTTGCATTATATAATACTAGTGGTAAGTGAACACACAATGCATGTGTAAAGTATATATAACTTAGTAATGAGAAGATGAAAAAAAATTGTTTCTAAAATTTTGAATATGCAAATAAATTTTCTCATAAAAGATGATGCATGGGTATGTTTTGAAAAAAAAAAAAAAACCCGTAACAGATGATGCATCAACACCACCAAGTCTAGTCTTTGTAATATAGTTGGACCCCCACGCGCTTGCGCTATTGTTAATCGAGAATTAAATGCTTTTAGAATATAATTTAGGTGCCTTTAGGTAACAAATATCTTATATCCAATTCATAAAGAATAAAATGAAAAATTGATGCTACCAGTATCTAGTGAGCAGCGTCCTAAAAAATTGCAAATAATTGCTAATTTTCCATAGTCATTATGTATTAGAATGATTTTAAGATGCAAAAGAGATAAATCGTAGCTACCATGACCAGTTATGGCAATGTATGCTATATCAGGCGAGGTAAAATCCACGGATTCAACCAGAAGAATTACTAAAAGTTACAGAATTAACAAATATTCATGGTGAGAGGTCCAACATGACTTACATTAATGTTGTGTTTGGTTGGAGGATTTGGGGAGGGATTTGGAAAGGGAAAGGAAAAAGGTGTGTGAAACTAGGTGAAATATAGGAATGTTTTATTCACATTTCACCTACCTTTTCCATTTCCCTTTCCAAATCCCTCCCCAAATCCCCCAACCAAACACAGCATAAGAGTGGGTTCAACAGTGATTCCATTACCACCAAGGATGCTGCAAACTTACTCTAGTCAATCTTTCTAAATTGAATTACTTCACATCTCAATGAGCAAAAGGAAATAAATTGTTCATCTTTCCATACTTACTCCACTTTATCCATAGGTAGCCTTTCTTCATTGCTTTGCATCTTCAATCACTACCGGAGGAGAAATAATTCAGAATCCCTTCATCAAACTAGAAGGTAGCATCCCAAAAGGTTCCAAAATTATGTACATAACGAATTGCGGCATGACAATTGCAACTACATGGCTATTCCTCTAGAAGACAACCCAAAAGTTATGAAAATCAGAAGTCAGCTATGATTAATGATTGATACACTGGCTATATAATATCAAATTTGGAAGTGACTGAGATCCTATTTAAATGGATAACTCAACAAGACCACATGATAATTATTGAATATTACTCAAGGAATTACTTTTTGCCTTTAAGAAGGCGAAGAAAAATGGCTATTGTCAATTCATTCTATTGCAGTCTATCCACTCATTGCTATGTACATTTCTAAATGTAAAAGATAATGAAAACTCCCACACTGTTGTTTCAAGCTACACAACAACCCGTTCATTTTAAATAATTAAACCCACAATTTATATCAGCTTGAATTCTAACTTATTTTATTTTCTTACAAGGGAAATAAAAAAAAATAGCATTCTTAATTAACATTTGAATTGGCAATTGAATCTACACAACATCTACCCATGTAGCCAAAGGTAAATCTCATCAAATTATCATGCGTCCACCATATTGAGAGTTCATGATATGTGAAGTTCAAATAAACAGTTTTGAGTGAAGTAATTGAGAAGACATGACTGTATGATATGTCAAGTTCAATGTCTTGCTTTTCTCCACGATGTGTGTTTTCTTTATTATATAGGAGGTGTCCACATCAAGTCTTCATGAATCATGACCAAGAGCCTGTTCCGCGTGTTTAATTTTCTACTGTTCTACATTTATCTTGTGCCTTTAGGCAAGAAGTTTGATATGATATTTTTATTTCAAATCATCTCTCAGAATGCTTAGGGAAGTTGCTTAGAAAAACTACTATGAAACTTCATTATAGTGTCATATGTGACATGTTATGTGTCATCGGGTATTCAGAATGATTGCTAGACAATATTGTTGGACCTATTAAATCATAATGATTTATTTGTCAAATTCAATGGATAGATTGATTCATTGATAAATTCATCCAGGTCAATTTTTCCTTGAAAACTCTCTTTGATTTGAGAATTCTTAATTTCTTTCTTTTCCTTTTTTTTTATTATTTAATTTCTTTTAATGATCAGACAAACTTCTCAAGTTCTTATTTGGCTAATTGGAATTAAGCTATTTGAATGTCATTTACAACCTTAGTGATCAACCTAAGTATTAATGGAAGCTTTTGGATTTTAAGAATCTGTTTGGAATTCCTGGTGGATTTGAAGATCCAATGTCAATACTTAATTTCTACTTACACACCCAATAAAATAAATTGGCGCCATTTTTTTTTTTTTGGAAAAATACTTGAACATCTTGCAAGTGTAAGAAGATGAGAACAAATTTTTTTTTTTAGCGTAATATGTTTTGCCTACTATAAATACACAAGGGCTGATTTATTATTTTTTTAAAATCTTTTTGTATTTGTATATGTTCTCATGGAATGAGATATGGCCAAACAATTGAATTTCTGGTTCAAAAGTGTTAGAAAATTAATCATATTTTGGATCTTTGGTTCTTTGTTTGGTTAATTTATTGTCAAGTGGATCATAAATCAAGAATATTAATGAGAGCTTTTGAATGTCTAAGAATCTGTAGGAATTCTTGGTGGATCTGAAGGCCCAATCACAATAGTAACTTTCTACATAAACTCCGAATAAAATAAATTGGAGCCTTTTTTTTTTTTTTTGTGTTTTCTTGTTCTGAAGATACTTGAACATCTTGCAAGTGTATGGACATCAGAACAAAAGCATTTTTTTTTTTTCTAGCATATGACAGTATGGTTTTGCCTCCTATAAATTACCCAAGTACTGGAATTTGTTAATTTATTTTTTATGGTTTTGTATTTGTATTTATGCGGAGAGATGAGATATGGCAACACAATTGAATTTTTGGGTTAGACATATTCACAAGCACTTGGTGGACAATTTATGGAGGCAAAGACGTGTGAATATCTTGTGTAGACATATTGTCAAACACATAGTGGGCAGATTTTGAAGGGAACACACAGTGAATTAAACACGAGCATGAATCTATGGCAAAAAACCAAACAAAATACAGCATTGAAGATAGGATCAGACAAAGAAGAAGAACATACGAGGTATTTTGTTTGTTGTAGATGACACCAACGGTAGAAGCAAGAGCCATATATATAGGATCCTCCACATCTTAACATCTGATACAAAGCACATGAAAACACGGTTTGTCCAAATTGGAGGTCCAACCAATTCTCAGCATCTGGAATCTGTATCTACAAATTTTAACAAAAAATCACAACGACATATTAGAGATGAACTTTGCCTCTTCTCTTACAACCGCATAGAATAGATATATCGGTGCAATTTCTTTCATACGAGGTAGAAGGCATAGAACATGCAAGAGCCACATGTTTGAAAGATAAATTCCACCGCTTTGCAGGACAACCTCTCTTAGAATAACGTGCTATATATATATATATATATCTGTCTATATCTTCTCTGCAACAGCAGCTCACAAGTTGTCTAACTTTTATGAGCATTCACCCAGTTTCAATGCAAGGAAGCCTCTAATTTTTTGGTCTGCATATTGAGGCATATTGTCAAACAGGTGGTGTGCCTAATTTGTGTATGCACTACCAAGCACCCACGAGAGTAGAGGCATGCAAATCAGATTCAACTCCTCAGTCAATTGTTGCTGATTTGGTTTATTTTAAGGCATCACCAGCTCACGGCCAGGATCAACCATATGACACTGATAGTGGAGGAATAGCACGAGCCGCAAAGTGAAGTTTGTCGATGGCTCAACATCAGGGAGCACCCGTCCCAGTCACCTGCCAAGGTTTGCTGTGTCAAGATCTGGTCCTACATCATTTAGGTAGAAATGAAACCAAAACTTTAACACTAGGAATAAGTAAATATCTGCTTAAATGTTTAGTTTTTTAGGTATTTGTAATTATCATTGGAGTGGTTTATATAAATTTTGGCAATATTTAAATTCAAACTCATTTCACAGCATGCTTCATGTGCCTGGCCCTCAAGAGATACAGCTAAAATATTCATTGTCGGAACTACATGTGCATTGTTGTGCTCACTTGCCAGCTTCTGAAATGGGCAATGCAGTAACCCAAATACACAACAATGATTCATCCCATTAAAAATATCACCACTAATAGCACTAATGCATTAAAAAGTAAAAAAAAAAAAAACACAACTCCAAGACCAAAACATCACATCATTAATGACAGGACCCACTGCCACTTAATTAGTGTGCTCCCAAGCATTTTTCCCCAAATACAAGGTTATTATTTGTCCTTGGAGTTTGCACAAATTTTCAACAAGTAAAAATGGTATATGAACATATAAATTCACAATGTTGTCTTACTCTCTATTTAACGCGTTGAGCCGAGCCAAATTGAATAGTACGCTTAGATTTGTTTATTAAGATTTTAACGAATTCGAATAAAAATTTAACGAATTGAATTCGAGTCGAGTTGGTTTAGATTTGACTCGAATTCGAGTATGTTCACAAGCTTTTACAAGTTAAAAAATTTATAAATTCATACTTACATATGAGACTAAAATTACAATTAAAACTTTAAATATAAATATAAAAAAATATTTAGAAATATATAATCAACAATGATTCATCCCTCCTTTTCTCCCCACCCCCTTTGACCCCCTCTCTCTCTCATTGGTTACATTTTCTTTTTCTTTTTCTTTTTTTTTTCTGCTCCTCCAATCACCATCCGCCACGTGGCAAAGGGGGGTGAGGGGGTGACCCCCAAAAGGGGGTCCCAAGCATTATTCTTTGATATAACCACCCCCAAAAAAAAAATAATAATAAATAAATCTGTACAATACATAAAATAAATTAGAATAAAAAAAAAAAACTGAAAATGTTTAGAGCTATGATAAGTAACATCTCAGGTCATATGGTGATATTCAGTGGCGGAGCCAATAATTTAATATAGGAAGAACTTATTAATTATAATCTCAAAATTTTTCTTCCCCAATCAATAACAATAACATAATAATAATTTTTTGAACTAATATTAAACATTAAAAATTAATATTCATTACAAATAGTTTTTAATTTTAAATTTTTACAATTGACCCCGATAAGTTTTCATCTTTTGAAATCTTTCCATAATAGTATCAATGTTAATGCCATCAAAAATATCTCTCTCAATATAGACAACTAAGCTATCATTCATCAATTCATTACCCATTCGGTTCCGCAACCGATTCTTCACAATATTCATAGTTGAAATATCCTCTCAACAATAGCAGTTGCAACAGGTAAGATTAATGCTAAAATCAAGAGCAAATACACCAATGGATATACTTTGTCTTTTCCAGTCTCCACAATTTTCTTAACAAGATCAGCAATTCCATTCAACATTGAGAGCTCGCTACTGGATAGCATGTCGATAATATATGTGTCAAATTGATCATTAAGTACCATTAGGAAATTCACTAAACCATGCTTGATTAAATCGCCGAAGTTTTTGTCTAAATGATTTTTGTGAAAAATTATGATCACGAGGTTGACAAGGACCTTTTTGTAGATATGCCCTACGAATTCGGTCTCGATCATTAGCAGTATAGTCCATAATCCGAGGCCGTTGTCATGGATCTACAGGAAGGTCTACTAAGTTGATTTCTATGCGACTTTGTTTTGCGGAAGAATAATTATTATATTCTTCTTGAGGAAGAGATGATCCCAACTTTGATTTTCTTTTGAAATATTTCTCCATGACTTTTTGAAAAAACTAAAAATCAAAATAAAAATTCATAATCAAAATCACAAACCCCTACAAATCAAAATCTCCAACGTTAACACAAATCAAAAAATTTAAATTAGCACAAATTACAACAAATCAAAATTTCTAATTTTAGCACAAATTATAACAAATCAAAATCCCTAATTTAAATATTAATCACTGCAAATAAATTGTTAATCATATTATTTAATTTTGATGATGTCTAAAATATATTAGTTAATATACATATTATTTGACACAAATTATTATCTTTTTAAAATATATATATTTGTTAAATATTATTTAAATAAAATAATATTATCTTTTTAAAATATATATGTTAAATATTATTTTAAATATTTTCAAAAACTTTACTATTCACTTTTTGAAAAATAGGGTTAATTACTATTCATCTTTTGACAAATCGATTAATTATATTATTTTGACAAAAATGATTATTTTAAATATTTTCAAAAACTTTACTATTCACTTTTTGAAAAATAGGGTTAATTACTATTCATCTTTTGACAAATCGATTAATTATATTATTTTGAAAAATAGGGTTAATTACTATTCATCTTTTGACAAATCGATTAATTATATTATTTTGAAAAATAGGGTTAATTACTATTCATCTTTTGACAAATCGATTAATTATATTATTTTGAAAAATAGGGTTAATTACTATTCATCTTTTGACAAATCGATTAATTATATTATTTTGAAAAATAGGGTTAATTACTATTCATCTTTTGACAAATCGATTAATTATATTATTTTGACAAAAATGATTATTTTGTTGTATTATTTTGACAAATTTGATATTTATGGGTTGTCTTATTTTGACAAAATTAATATGGAGTGGTAAAATACATTTAGTTTAAAATCTTTACAACATATACAATATTTTAAAGATGACATATATTTTCAGATCCATCATAAATATTATTTATAGAGATTTTTCTGTATGCAAAATTTTGATCAGAACTTATATAACATTATATGCAGAATACATCACGTGCGCTATTAAATTTTTTACACTACATTAATTATATCAAGATGGAGTTATGTATATATGTATATATATATATATATATATTATAAACTAGATGGAGAAAATTATTTATTTGTTTGAAAGTTGTGAACTTTGTATTAAATTGTCTACAAAAACGGTGGCTCTATGTTTGAAAAAAAACAAGAAGAAAAAATCAATCTTATTTTTATCTTTTTAATTCTTATCATTTGCTGACTATTTAAATTTAAGGAGTGTGCTTATGTAAGCAATGACATCAAGAGCCTGCTTATGTAAGCGATGACATCAGGAGCGTGCTTATGTAAGCGATGACGTCAGGAGCGTGCTTATGTAAGCCATGACGTCAGCAAGGAGTGTCCAACGGGTATATTTTTGTGTATAAATAGAGGTGTTGGATGTGGAGAAAAAATCAAGAACTTGAAGAGAAAATTTTCTGTGAGCTCCAAATTGTATTCTTCTCTTTCACTTTCAGATCTAAGTCTAGTTTTTGTTCTTACACTTTCATATCTACTCTTTGTGAGAGAATTATTGTAAAAGTTGGTTCAATTACCACTTATTCTTATTCCTTATTTTTGTGAGAGATTTTGTAAGGGTAGGGCATTTATTGTTGAGTGAGGCTCAATAGATAAGAGTAAGTCCTGTGCCAAATCCACAAGCTTGGTGGTGTATTTATTCAATTGATAGTAAAGAAATTCTCAAGGAGGTTCCTTGGGGAGTGGACGTAGGCCTGGCGTGCCGAACCACTATAAATCGCAGTGTTTGATTTTCTCTCTCTATCTCTTCTACTTTTATATTGATAATTATTATTCTGTTTTTTTTATTTATTAAAATTCTGAATATTGTGTTATTTTTAATATTGTAAAATTTTTAATAACCCAATTCACCCCCCTCTTGGGTTGCCTATCTGGGATAACATAAATATTTTTAATTTTAGTACAAATCAAATCCCTAATTTTAGCACAAACAACAACAAACCAAAATCCCTAATTTTAATATAAATCACCACCAATTAAGATTAATAATTTTAGCATATCAAAATCTCTTATTTTAACATAAATAATAACAAATCAAAAAATTTTACAAATCAAAACTTAACAAATAACTATAAATTAATACTCATAATTTTTATTTAAAAGTAAAAAAAATAAAATAAAGTTACTTATAAACAATGAAGAGAAGATACCAATGTTGTAATGTGGTTTCAAATCTTTATTGTGTGATCCTAATTTGGTGAATCTCGAGTTGGCAAATTACAAAGTAACAAGGGAGACAAAGAAGACAAAGAAAATACGAAAATACTTAACAAGTACTGTGAATAAATAAAAAAAACAAAGAATTTTATACACTTTTAGGATTTTAGAATTTGTATCTTATTGTAATTAGAGTTGGGTGTACTTATTAAAAAAAAAAAAATTATGTGTCAACATTTAATTGGAATTGGGATTAAAAAAAAAAAAAAAAAAAACCAAACCTGATTGCATGTGTGTCAATGGGTTTGACATAATTGGAAGGGGTATGTATTAGTATTAGGTGGGGGCACTACTTAGTGCTGCACGGTGTGAAAGCAGATCCTACTTAAAATAAAAAAAAAAAAAAAATAAATCAGGGGAAACACGTGACCGTCCTGAGCCCTAAGTCCCTCCGCCCTGGTGACACTACAAATTAATTAAAAAAGAATATAAATAAACCAAAACAATTTGTAAGCAAGCCATGGACCAATCTATCAAAACACAAATAAATAAATAGGACAAAGTACATATACCTTCCTTCTTTAGTTAAATTACAGATACTCTCTTGAGGTTTTAAAAATTATAGATACTCCTCTGAGGTTTATATTTTTATAACAAATTACCTACTGAGATTTATATTTTTATAACAATTTGTCTCCTAATTTGTTATACAAATAGTACCTTCAGGGGAGTATCTGTAATTTCTCAAATCTCAAGAGAATATCTGTAATTTTACTAAATCTCGAGGGGTATATATAATTTGCCCAAATAAACAATAGCAACACATAGAATGCCAATCAATCTTATATTGTTAAGATAGAAGGAAGAACATTATGATTTTTATTATTATTTAAAAATTTTAGATACAGTTTGGTCAGCAAACATCATGGACAATGCAGCCTCACCAACAATTTTGCGAGTGATAATATATAAAATAAGAGTGATGATATATAAATAGATAACATATACAGAATGATATAGTTGCATTGAGACTATTATTTTGAGCAATATTTTATATCCAAAATAATACTTCAAAATATCAATTTATGATTTAGATTTATTTTATATATGAATCTCACAATATAACAATAAATCTCAACACACTTTATGATTCTGGGTAAAATTCTTGACAAAGCTTTTGAGCCTGGCTTCCCTCTAGTCCCAAATCGGACTGGAGCGTGCTGTTGGGCTTGTGGTGGGACCATTATGGGTCCTATTTTGATAATCCGAACCATTCAATAGGTAAAACTCGTCGATTACTATATGCCAAAAAAAAAAAAAAATCACTTTGATCGAATATCGATAGCTATCTTATCGGATTAGTTTTCAGTCAACCGTTTATTTTTTTACCGTTCATTTTTTTTTTACACAACTGATTTGATCACGTAGTTTTTGATATTCGATCAACGTGATTTTTCATAAGCATATAGTACTTGATAAGTTCTACACATAAACGGTTCAAATTATCGAAACGAAACCCGTGATAAACCCCGACAGACCTAACAACACTCTTCAATCTAGTGTCCTTAGTTTTCCCCTACCATTTTAGAGCAAGGATACAAACATGATTTTTGTCTAAAATTTTCACGCAAAATGATTTGTGGCTCCTTTAATTTTCATGAAAACACTCATCATTATCCTCATAATTGCATAATTATTGTCAAATCATTCTTATGATTGATTTAGCATAAAAATCACGTAACTATATATATATATATTTTATTGTTTTAGAACAAAGTGCTCATTAAAATAATATTTAATTACAAAGAAACACCGATTGCATTTTAAAAAAAAAATTTAAATCACTCTATCAAGCTCTTGTTAAAGCTGGATTTCTTTCAAGAATATTTTAATACAGACAGAAAACTTATATAGAATTTATCCATAATACCATGAACAACCTTGAGTCATATCATTTTGAAATTAAAGGTTCATTAAGGTGATTTATCTAATATCATTTTATTTTACATATTAAATTAAAAATATAAAAATATAACATTTTTTTTTACTCAATCTGCATGCTTTTACATTAAAAATTTAATAAATCAGATCACTAAATATGCAGCCATACTCAGCACACTTACCTGAATTCATATAACATTGGTAATAAGTTTCCTGTACAGATTGAAGTGGATGTGGTTTGCACCCTATTTTCATGTAATAGGTACAAGATGCTCCATCACATTCACCAACAATTTCTCAAGAAATGGGGTCTGTGATCTGTAGATAAGACCCTATTGTGTATGTAATAATATTCATTTATCTGAAGATCAAAGTTCAAAAAACTTTTTATTACCCTAGATATGTGTGGTTTTATGAGGAATGCATGGACATATTATGAAGTAACAAAATGAAGAAAAAGGTCCGACAGTGGTTGTGCCATTGTGTGTTATATATAACAAAAAGGGGAAAAAAGTTCGATCAATTTTTGAGGATTAATTTTGGGGATGTTGGAGTGTGACAGGGGATGCTATTATTTAGAAATTATTCAATATTCTTGGAGTATCACGTGTCTGTACTTCTTAACTAATCATCATTTAATATGCTCCTCATGTTTTCTAATCACCCAACACAATACTCCACCTACTTACCTTCTCTACCAATCATAATACTATAGAATACCACGTGTTCATATTCCGAGATTACAGAATAATTACCCGCTTCGACCATAGAGAATTTAGCAACTTAAAATTGTTGGTGAGGTTGCATTGTCCATGATGTTTGCTGACCAAACTGCATTTAAGAAATTAAAAATAAAAATTCAATTTTAAGATAAGCCACATATTGTTCTTCCTTTGATCTTAAAATATAAGATTGCTTGACATTCTACATGTTGCTATTATTCATTTATTTGTGTTTTGATAGATTGGTCCATTTCTTGGTTACAAATTTTTTTGGTCATAGTCATTTTTAATTTTTAGTGTCACCCTTTGACCTCAAAGTCTCCGGGAAATCTTGAGTTTTACTCTAAGGAGTAGAATAGGAAGGTAAGATCTTATTGCAAGGTGTATGTGTGTGAGTTTCAACTCTCCTGAGATGCCACTACAAGAAATAACACATTCAGCTACTAATTTTGCCGACTAAACTAAATTTAGTTGCCAAAGGTATACACATTAGCTACTAAATATTTGTTTGTCGCCAATGGTAGACACATTAGCTACTAAACAATATTTGGTCGCCAAAGATAAATGCATTAGCTACTAAAACTTTTTGGTCGGTAAAAGACTACTATTTTGCTACTAAAAATACATTTAGTCAGTATTGTCTTTACTTTTGGCGACTAATTACGTGTTAGTCGTTAAAAATATCATTTTGGGCGACTAAAAATGATGTTGGTCGCTAATTGCACAGTGTTTAGAAATTATATTTTTTTTATTGGTATTTATTTAATTTTTGGCTACTAATTGTGTGTTAGTCGTGGAAAAGCAACTTTTCAGAGACTAAAAAATATTTTGGTTGCTAAAATGTCCAATCTCTAGATATTATTAATTCATTTTTGGCTACTAAAGTGTTTTAGTCGTGTAAAATAAGGTTTTGGGTGACTATTTTTATTTTGGTCGCTAAATCTGAAATCTTTACCGATTATAATTCAGTAGCCAAACATGGCAAAAAATTGTGGAGGGAATATTAAATTCTTCATAAAAATATTAGTGACCAAAATGGAATTTTGGCCGGGAATAAATTGGGTGTTGTTTTATTTTTATTGCAATAGAAGTCCATTTCCCTCCCTTTCTCACGCCCGGCTTTGTCACTGCTCTGTTTCCATCGCCATCACTGCAAGGCTTGCTGGATCATTACTTTGTCTCCCTCCCAGGTATCTCCTCTATTTCACCTCTGTCTCTCTCTTTATCTCTCTGTATCTCCCTCTCGATTTCTGTCTCCTTCTCACAGAGGCCTCTCGGTTTTCCTCTTTCTCTTTCTCGTTGTTTACACACACACACACATACATGCATATATATATATATATACACACACACACACACACACTGTCACTGCTCTGTTTCCATCGCCATCACTGCAAGGCTTGCTGGATCATTACTTTGTCTCCCTCCCAGGTATCTCCTCTATTTCACCTCTGTCTCTCTCTTTATCTCTCTGTATCTCCCTCTCGATTTCTGTCTCCTTCTCACAGAGGCCTCTCGGTTTTCCTCTTTCTCTTTCTCGTTGTTTACACACACACACACACATACATGCATATATATATATATACACACACACACACACACACAAATCATATACACACAACCTTGATCCCATATATAATCGATTATACACTGGTACACTCACGCCTCTGCCCTCTTCTTTATAGTTTTGTCTCCATCGCCATCACCGCAAGGGTTGCTGGATAATCGCTTTGTCTCTCTCCCAGGTATGTCCTCTATTTCGCATCTCTCTCTCTCTCTCTGTATCTCCCTCTCGATTTCTTTGTCTTCTTCTCACTGTCTCCCTCTCGATTTCCCTTTCTCTTTCTCTCTGTCTCTATTTACACACACACACACACACATACATACATATATATATACATATAAATCATATAGGAAATGCTGAAAATTAGGGCATTGTTATTGAAATGTGATTGAAATTAAAAATCAGGGCAATGCTTGGGGTGAGATGTTATTGAAATTAGGCCAACGTTATTGAATTTGGGTGTACAAATTACAGAAATCCTGAAATTAGGCCATTCATTTACAATATGCTGTAAATTATAAATAAATAAATTACTTTAAAACAGTTTAATTTGCCCAGAATTGTGGGCATATCATTTACCATATGCTGTACAAGAAAATCTAAGATAATTTAACAATAATGAAATTCATAATTAAACTTCTATTAGTCTGAGAATTGGTAAATAATAGGCTGAAAAAGTGTGTGTGTGACTGTATCTGTTCATGTGTGACTGTATCTATTAAAATGTGTGTGTATATATAAATTGATTTGTCTATTAATCATGTTATGCTCTATGTAAGAAATGGTTGGGTAATAAAACCATGAAACTTATTTGTGTGTCGCAACAATGCAAGGCTTTCAACTTATGAGATTTTAGTGCGATTCATTATTTCGAACAATTGCATTTTTTAGCTCGATTGACTAACCTAGACCCTATATCTCAAATTACTTTAATTCTGGTCTATAGTACATTAGTCCTTTCATACTAGTAGGAGAACAAAGTGTAATCCCAACAAGGTAAATTTTATCTTACATATTGATTACTGAATGAATGAAGAGCAAACAGTGTCATGTTACCGTTGCCATTTTAATTTCATCTGACGCTTAGTTCTGCTACATGGACATCTAGTTCTGCTATGGCAATGTCAGTTCCATTATGAACACCTACGTCAACAGTTTTGTCGCTTTCCTCCTTTTTGAGATTCCATGCCACACATCTTGTAACCATGCTGGGTGGGTGCTACCACCATTTTGTTAGATTATTAGTTTTGTTACAGTTAGAATGTATTAGAGGATTCCTCTCCGTTCTTATTCCGTCTACATGGCTTGCGAATAAATGATTGAATTGCTTGAATGATGAGAACTGCAAACTTTTCCAATTAGCTAGGCATTTGATAGCTTTTTATCCATTTTCTTAATATTATTAATGCTTTGCCACCTTTATATGTATGATTAAACTTATATTTTAACAGTTTATGTTCTACCCTTTTGAAGTCAACAAAGTTCCTCCTCAATTAACCTTATGTTAGCATAAGATAAATAGGTTACTGTTTCTCTGGCTTGTTCTTCATACATTTGTTCTCACAAAATTGTTCAAATTTTAATGAAATTGTTTTCACCGACGGTTTCTCCTTTGTAGCCCACATTCCCTTATATCTGTACCCTTTTCTTAATACAACAAGAAAATCAAGGCCATTTGAATACTTAAGGCTTACTTCCTTGGGTGCCATCGGTGCTATATATTTGTGTGTGTGTGTTGTCATGACTATTCTTGTTATTTTTTATATATTCGTGCCAAACATTAGATTTGGGTGTGGATATGTTTATTTGAAGTTGATGTATGTACTAAATTTGAAAGAAAAATCAGTTTAAAAGAACGATAATTAACCACTATTGATAATGTTAGTCATGGGCAGCTGGTTATATTAAGAAGCTGTTTACAGCCAATGTTGTACATTTTGCTTTTACTGCCTCAAGCTCATGGGTACCCATGAGGAATTTTTGTAAATAAAAAACATGTCATGCACACACACACTGTTGAGAGCATGAAAGGAATTTGATTCTTTTGATATATCATTCTATTATTGACCATATGGTTTCACTAGTAGTAGTGCTCTACTAGTTATGCTATCTAGTGGTCCAAAATTAGGGGTCATTTCTTAAATTAATTTCCATAATTACACATTTCATGTTACAAATCGTTTCATTTGGTCCCACCCTAAAAGAGATTTATGTGACAAGCCAAATAGTGAATTGTAGGTGACAAAAAATGGACAAGAATTGGATGATGATAAATAATAGGTTGACAAGTAAAGAGTATCAACAAGGGGTGAAGTCATTCCTTGATTTTGCTATGGCAAATCTAGGCATAGAGGATGAAATTAGGTGTCCGTGTGTCGATTGCATTAATGGCACAAAATATAGCAAACAAGTTGTGTGGATAGATTTGATCCGAAGAGGAATGGAATATTTGTATATAACTTGGGTGCACCACGGGGAACATGTTCTCGTGTCTCATCCTAGTGTATCAAATGACCAATGTGGAGGTAGTGGCGAATGTATGAGAGATATCGATGATCCGCTCATGGGTGAATTGCCTATTATGTTGGAAGAAATTTACGTGAGTGGTCTTATGGATGATCATACCGACGAGGAACCTAATGGTTTGGAGAGGGAGGATTTGCATAAGTTTATTAGGTTATTCGAAGATGCACAATGCAAAGTTTACTTGACATGTGAAAAGTTCTTTGTGTTATCATTCGTCATTAAGATGCTTCATGTGAAGGTGTACAACAAATGGAGCAACAAGTCATTCGATATGGAGAGTGCAAATTTGGAGAAATGCCCTACATGTGACGCGTGTAGATACAAGTTGAACGATGATGGTGGTAAAAAGATTCCACACAAGGTCTTGTGGTACTTTCCTTTGACACCGAGGTTGAAAAGACTGTATATGTCCAAAAAAACACCCGCAGATATGAGATGGCACAATGAGAAGCGTGTGGATGATGACATATTAAGGCATTTGGCTGATGGTGAAGCATGGAAAGACTTTGATAAGCAACATCTGACATTTTCTGATGACTCTCGATATGTAAGGCTAGGGCTGGCAACAGATGGTTTCAATCCATTTGAAAATATGAGCACATCATATAGCATGTGACCCGTAATCTTAATGCCTTACAATCTCCCACCGTGGAAGTGTATGAAAGAGCCATTGTGCATGATGTCATTGCTTATTCCCGGACGTTCGGCACCTGTAAGAGACATTGACGTTTACTTGCAACCATTAATAGAAGAATTGAAGAATTTGTGGGAGCATGGTGTGCAAACATATGATGCATCGAATGGGCAAATTTTTAGAATGCATGCGGCGGTAATGTGGACCATAAATGACTTCCCTGCGTATGGTAACATGTCAGGGTGGAGTACAAAGGGTTACTTGGCTTGCCCTAATTGTAACAATAATGCATCATCCCAGGGTTTATGAAGTAAAATAGGATACATGGATGGTCGTCACTACTTGCCTGAGAACCACACTTGGCGAACAAGTAAGCTCTTCAACGGTCAAACGGAGCATAGGTCCAAAACTTTGGACTTATTTGGGGAACAAATATTAGAGCAAATTGATTCTGGGACTTATAAGCCTTATGGAAAGCACCCACAAAATTGAAAACGATAAAGGAATGAAAATCAAAATTTGAATTGGACCAAGAGAAGCATTATGTTTGACTTGCCTTATTGGAAAAGGTTGAAGCTTCGACACAACCTTGATGTCATGCATATTGAAAAGAATATATGTGACAATGTCGTTGTGACACTTTTGAGCGTAGATGGAAAGAACAAGGACACGAACAAAGCACGCTTAGATTTGGAGGACATGAGAATACGTAAAGAGTTACACTTGAAGAGGTGTTCTAATGGGTCCTTTGAGAAGCCTTCCGCATTGTACACATTGTCTGTGAAAGAGAGAGAAGGCTTTTGTGATTTCTTGAAATCAATTAAGTACCCTGATGGGTATGCAGCAAATATCTCCAATTGCGTGGCTGCCCAAGCTGGAAAATTATCTGGCCTCAAAAGTCATGACTGTCATGTCATTATATAACGACTTCTTCCAATTGGGATGCGTGGCTACCTTAATAAGGAGATTAGAACCACATTTTTTGAGTTGAGAAATTTCTTCAAACAGTTGTGTTCAAAGACATTGAGGCGTTTAGATTTGGAGAAATTAGATGAACAAATCATACTCATACTTTGTAAGCTTGAGAAGATTTTCCCGCTGGCTTTTTTTGATGTCATGGTCCACTTGGCAATTCACTTGCCTTGAGAGGCTATGCTTGGAGGCCCAGTGCAATATCGATGGATGTACCCAATTGAGAGGTATTAACTCAACCCTCTTATTAGTGTCAAATTTTAGTTAACGCTTTAGTGCTGATATAAAGATTACTGTATAACATTGTCATCGGCTTGATCGTTAGGTTGCTTGGCCGTCTAAAAGGGTTTGTGGCCAACAAAGCTCATCCTGAAGGTTCTATTGCCGAGGCTTACATTTCTAAAGAATGTACAACATTCTGTTCAATGTATTTGGATGGAGTTGAAACATTGTTTAACCTCCCAGAAAGGAATTATGACATGGGTGACCGTGGCCCAAGGTTGGCGGTATTCACTCAAAATGTTTGTCCCTTTGGTCTAATGACAAGGGCGTTCGATGTGTTTGCAGCTGAACGCGAGATGGCTCATTGGTTTGTCCTACACAATAGCATAAAAGTGGAAAAACACGTAGAGTATGAATTAGGGGTGTTCACGGATCGGTTTTGTGCGGTTTGCGGTTCGGTTTTGACCCGCTCGCACTTATGCAGTTTGGAGAAAAGTCAAACTGCAACCGCCCACAGTGCAGTTTGCGATTTGTGCAGATAGGGTTTGTGGATGTGCGGGCGGTTGCGGGCGTTTTGCAGTTTAGAAATCAACAGATTTAATTCCAATCACAGATTTAATTCTAAATAGAAATCAATAGATTTAATTTCAACTCAAAGATCTGTTGCCACAAAAAAAGAGAAAAGATCTGATTGCCTAAATGAATAGGTTAATTCCAATCACAGATTTAATTCCAACTCAGAGATCTGTTGCAAAAAAAAAAGAAAAAAAACAAATCTGATTGCCTAACAGAAATGAACAGATTTAATTCCAATCACAGATTTAATTCCAAACAGAAATCAACAGATTCAATTCCAACACAGAGATCTGTTGCCACAAAAAAAAAAAAAAAACACACACACACACACACAAATCTGATTGCCTAATAAAAATGAACATATTTAATTCCAATCACAGATTTAATTCCGAACAGAAATCAACATATTTAATTCCAACTCAGAGATCTGTTGCCATAAAAAAAAAAAACACAGATCTGATTACCTAACAGAAATGAACATATTTAATTCCAAACAGATTTATTTCCAAATAAATAACAGATTTGATGAGATATGAGAGAAAGAGAGAGGCTTATCCGTGAGGTCAATCGGTGAGGAGTCGATCTTGCGAGGTCGATCTGTACAGACGAAAATGAGAGAGTGAGAGAGAGACTGATGAGAGAGAGAGAGAGAGAGAAAGAGAGAGAGAGAGAACGGCTTACCTATGAGATCGGTCGGTGCGATGAGAGAGTGAGGTCGATCGGTGAGGAGTCGATCTTGCGAGGTTGATCGGTGAGGAGTCGATCTGTGTAGATGAAAATGAGAGAGTGAGAGAGAGAGATTGATGAGATGAGATGAGGGGAATGAGAGAGCTACGTGCGTATTAGGGTTTTTTTGGTTTTGTTTGTTACATGAAGTGAAGATTGAATTGAATGGTCCAGATTTGAAATTTTTTTAAAAAAAAGTTAATGCGGGCGGGTTGTGCGTGTGTGGTTCAAATTAGAACCACACTTTTTGAGTTGGGAAATTTCTTCAAACAGTTGTGTTCAAAGACATTGAGGTGTTTAGATTTGGAGAAATTAGATGAACAAATCGTACTCATACTTTGTAAGCTTGAGAAGATTTTCCCCCCGGCTTTTTTTGATGTCATGGTCCACTTGGCAATTCACTTGCCTCGAGAGGCTATGCTTGGAGGCCCAATGCAATATCGATGGATGTACCCAATTGAGAGGTATTAACTCAACCCTCTTATTAGTGTCAAATTTTAATTAACGCTTTAGTGCTGGTATAAAGATTACAGTATAACATTGTCATCGGCTTGATCGTTAGGTTACTTGGCCGTTTAAAAGGGTTTGTGGCCAACAAAGCTCATCCTGAAGGTTTTATTGCCGAGGCTTACATTTCCAAAGAATGTACAACATTCTGTTCAATGTATTTGGATGGAGTTGAAACATTGTTTAACCTCCCAGAAAGAAATTATGACATGGGTGACCGTGGCCCAAGGTTGGCGGTATTCACTCAAAATGTTTGTCCCTTTGGTCTAATGACAAGGGCGTCCGATGTGTTTGTAGTTGAACGCGAGATGGCTCATTGGTTTGTCCTACACAATAGCACAAAAGTGGAAAAACACGTAAAGTATGAATTAGGGGTGTTCACAGATCGGTTTTGTGCGGTTTGTGGTTTGGTTTTGACCCGCCCGCACTTATGCGGTTTGGAGAAAAGTCAAACCGCAACCGCCCGCAGTGCGGTTTGCGGTTTGTGCAGATAGGGTTTATGGATGTGCGGGTGGTTGCGGGCGGTTTGCGGTTTAGAAATCAACAGATTTAATTCCAATCACAGATTTAACTCCAAATAGAAATCAACAGATTTAATTCCAACTCAAAGATCTGTTGCCACAAAAAAAAAAAAGATCTGGTTGCCTAAATGAACAGATTAATTCCAATCACAGATTTAATTCCAAACAGAAATCAATAGATTTAATTCCAACTCAGAGATCTGTTGCCACAAAAAAAAGAAAAAGAAACAGATCTGATTGCCTAACAGAAATGAACAGATTTTATTCCAATCACAGATTTAATTCCAAACAGAAATCAACAGATTCAATTTCAACACAGAGATCTGTTGCCACAAAAAAAAAAAAAAAAACACACACAGATCTGATTGCCTAATAGAAATGAACATATTTAATTCCAATCACAGATTTAATTCCAAACAGAAATCAATAGATTTAATTCCAACTCAGAGATCTGTTGCCATAAAAAAAAAAAAACACAGATCTGATTGCCTAACATAAATGAACATATTTAATTCCAAATAGATTTAATTCCATATAAATAACAGATCTAATGAGATGAGAGAGAAATAGAGAGGCTTATCCGTGAGGTCAATCGGTGAGGAGTCGATCTTGCGAGGTCGATCTGTGCAGGCGAAAATGAGAGAGTGAGAGAGAGACTGATGAGAGAGAGAGAGAGAGAGAGAGAGAGAGAACGGCTTACCTGTGAGATCGATCGGTGCGATGAGAGAGTGAGGTCGATCGGTGAGGAGTCGATCTGTGCAGATGAAAATGAGAGAGTGAGAGAGAGAGATTGATGAGATGAGATGAGAGGAATGAGAGAGCTACGTGCGTATTAGGGTTTTTTTGGTTTTGTTTGTTACATGAAGTGAAGATTGAATTGAACGGTCCAGATTTGAAATTTAAAACAAAAAAAGTTAATGCGGGCGAGTTGTGCGGGTGTGGTTCAAACCCGCAACCCAAAAATCACCCATAATCCAAACCGCACCCGACCTTAATGTATTTGCGAAACCGCCCATACATGTGTGGATTGGATCGGGTAGGGCGGTTTGGGCGGGTCGGATAATCCTATGCCCCGCCCTAGTATGAATCCTTCAAACGTATTTAGAATGTTATAGTTGTAAATTGATTAGTCTTTATCTTAGTAAATATTTTTGAATCGCATTTCTTATAACTAGAGAGCACAAGAACTTGTTACAACAAAGAGCCGGTGCATTCGACATCGAAAATAGACAACGCAAAGAATTTCCTAAATGGTTCAAAGATCATGTAAGCTAGTATTCTCCGCATACAATTAATCGTACATTACGTTAATATTGTGTATGCTTGTAACATGACGCATGTTCCTCATGTAGATGAATGAATTACAGAGCCAAGTTTCCCCCGAAACAACTGATGAGATGTGGTCATTAGCTAATGGTCCTAGTGGCTCAGTGAACACATATTCAGGATGTACTTGTAATGGTGTCCGTTTTCATACTATCGACCGTGACAACCGTCGTAAAAGTCAGAATAGTGGATTAGTCGTGGAAGGGGAGCATGAAGGCCAATTGATACACTTCTATGGACATTTGTGCAGAGTGTGGGAAATGAACTATTTGTTCAGACGTCGGATTGTATTGTTCCAATGTGAATGGTTTAACACCGGTAGTAGTAGAACTATGTTTGTAGAACCACATTTGACAACAATTGATGTAAGAAGTCAATGGTACAAAGATGACTCATTTGTATTACCAAGTGAAGTTGAACAAGTATTCTATGTTCATGACACCAAATTAGGTACCAATTGAAGAGTCGTAGAAAAGTTTCAACATCGAGGAATTTGGGATATGCCAGAGATGGATGATGTAGAACTTGGTGATGTGTTCCAACAAGAAGAAACAACTGAGGTCGTACTAGCTATGGCTATTGATGATTATGTGGTTTTGCATTGAGATGATATTGAATCTGAAATTATTCCAATAGAAGTTTTGCAATTTGTCAGAGGTGTAGAAGCCAAGGGTGTTATAGATGATGCCTTCATTTGTGATGATGAATGGATTAATAAGGGAGGGTGACGACCCAGAAGAAGAATATGACCTACAAAGTGATTTTGATATAGATGTTGATGTAGAATCTTGATGTATTTGCTTTTATGATTGGGATATGATAATGAACCAAAATACTTGTTTTATTAATTTGGCAACATCATTTAATAGTTTGTTATTTATTTTTAATTTTTTTTGTCTAATTTAGTTCATGTATATCATGCTTTATAATGTGGACCAAGAATTAGAGCTTTGTAATCATGCATAAATGTGTAATTCTTTTAAAATGAAACAAAATGGAACTTGGTGGTAAAATTATTTTACTTGTATTTGACCAAACTTGATTCTAATAGAAAATGTTTTGGAGATAAGGTAGGGTCGAGTACAAGAGTAGGGAGGTCAAAATTAGTGTAAAGTTTGAAATTGTATGACTAAGATACTTGAGTTTAAAGTTAAGAACTCACGCACAAAATCTGAAAATCCCGACCCATTGCCATCCTAGACTTAAAGTTTGATATTGTTGAAAATACAAGTCATCTTGATGTTTCGTTTTTTTTGATGTTTTCTTATTTTTGAAATTTTTTTAAGGTAATAAAATCATGAAAAATGAAATGCTTATGAAAATTTTATACCTAATTTATGACAAGTACAATGAAATTCATAACATTTGTAAAACAACACAACCACAAAGAGCCAAATCATTCTCTATAAAAATATTGTACATTAATTATGTTTGTATATCATTCCTCTAAAGTCAAAACTTGTTATATCATTATGTTTTAATTTTCTATTTGTATAACAATACAAATTTGTCAATAATATAAACAGTTATTTGTATAACAGTATAAATCTGTCATTAATTTTGTGTTGATGCTAGGCTGATATGCTCAGTTGGGCTCTGCTGCTGATCCTGGAGTAGTAGAGGCTATGTTGTCTGGGCTATGTTTTTGTTTTGCATTTTGGACTGATCTATTGACTAAGTGCTCTGCCTACTGTGATGCTTTCTGCTGTGTCTTGCAACTGGTTTGAATTTTTGTTTGTTTAATTGGCTGTTGGTGAGTTTGCTGCTGGTTTTGGTCTGTAATGTTGGTATGTTTTTGTTCTATTTGTTATGTTGGCTATTTTTTTGAGTTGGGATGGTTTTTGGTGTGCATTGGCTGAGTCTTCATGTTTTTTTTTTTTTTTAGTTGTGTTATTTCATGCTTTCTAATTTATTTTTGTCTAATTTATTTCCTGTATTTCATGCTTTATAATGTATTTTATTTCATTTATATAATGCTTTATAGTGTTACATGTGTTATTGCAGTTTGAAAAATGGTTCCTGGCTTAAAGCCTGGTCGGCTTTGGAAAAGGACACTCACGAGCACAATAACAACAGTCGCTCCATCTCCTATTGTCACCGTACAATCAAATGTGGCACCATCTCATTATGCCACTAGCCCACCATTGGTTGATTTTGATGAGACACAACGCCTATCTGAAATGTAGCTGAGTGGCGTAGGTAAGATCAAAGCGTATCAAATTTAGCTCAATTAAAGGCATCATTATTTACATTCGAAAATTCAACTCTTTAACTTTCAAGCCCACACGTGTCAATTATCACTTGTCATTATGTACATTCATATTGTTATTTTGTTAACAGGGACTTCGAAGCCCATACGTGTACGAGGACCAACAATTGCAAAGGAATACAAAAAACAATTAGAGCCAAGAAAGGGGAAAAATGTTATGTTCACATTGATCGTGCTTTGAATGCAATGACTGGAAAATATGCCACTCCAGCAACTAACGAGTTAGGAATTCATATTAGGAGCTTGTGCCCTGTGAAAGATGTCAAGTCGTGGCTGGATTTGATAAGATTACAAAATCTGCCGTCATCCAAGCTGTTCTTGTCATTGATATTACTTGTCCACAAGATGCATTTGTATTATGTATACTTATAAGAAAGAATTTTATTTAATGATTTTAATTTCCATTTGTTATGCTTATAGGACAAGTTTGATATTGAAGACAATTTCCACAATGACTTACAAGCACAACAGATTGTGAATAAGAAGGCATATGGGTTGTACAAAGATTGGAGGTACACCTTGAAGCAAGAATTCAAACTCTTAGAGGGACTTCCAAGTGATGAGATCTATGCTCATCCGCCCCGAGGGGTGAGTGTAGATGATTGGAAGCATTTGATCGACGTGGCGTGGCAAGATGCATCTTACTAGGTAAAATAATAAGGAAAGAGTACATAAATCTATGCCAAAATGTGATATGCCTTAATATTGATCAAAAACTTGTTTATCTGCTTGTCTTAATTTTAGAAATGGTCAAAAGCTGGCAAGAGTAACAGGAGTTAATTGTCATACAATCATACCAATGGGTCCCGCTCATTTCCTATCACAATGGCTGTTATGGTGAGATTGAATTTATTTAAAATTAAATCCATTATATGTTTTTTGGATATGAATAATATGTTGTGACTTTTAGGGGCAATTTGGACTCTATTAGTACGCATATTTTTTTATAAAATTTATTTATATGAACTCTTTAACTTCTAAGCTACAAATTTTCATTTGGAAATTGAATTTGAAACCATGTAATGTTGTTCGAAATTTGATATCTCAACTAAAAATAGAGTGTGAAGTGAGAGAAAGTGATACACCTCTGTATTTAGATATTTGATATCTCCTTCAAAATTTTGACATCTCCTTCAAAATTTGATTGCTCAGTCTCTGTCATCCGTTCTACTAGGTGAGGACATATAACAACAAAAGCATAAAACATCCCCAAGCATGATTAGTCAATTAGTCAATTTAATTTCTTTTTGAAAGCTTTACGATCAATTTAGAGAGTTCCATGAGAACTTAGGCATTTGTTTTCTTTTGAACTGAATTGCTTTCGGGTTTTGAATCTTGTGGTTTTTGAATCTTATGGTTATATATATATACATTTATATCTAGTGTTTGAAATTGAAGCTTTTGAATGTATTTTGAAGCTTCTGTAGTTGAAGCTGCAACTGTAGCTTCTGAATGCTCTTCCTAGAGTAATCAGTGTGGTTATTCATTTCAGTATGGAGATGGAAGTGGGACATCTGGTTATTATTTAACTGATTTAATGTATTTTGACACAATTATGAGGGCTTCTTTGGTTGCTAACTCTTTTGCTCCTATTGTTTTTGGGTAAGTTGTTGATGTTATGACTTCTAATGATGGTGTATTTCTGTGTGGGATTGAAAATGATCATTAGATGAAGAGAGTAGATGGTTAGGAGAGTCAAAGAAGAAGCCTTACCATATTAATACATCCATGAAAACACATAGTAACACCAATCCAACTTGACTTAACCAATCATGTGCTTGAATTGCATTAAGTAAAACATGTTCTATGAACAGAAAAAAAATAGTGGTGTTCATTCTCTTCAGTTATTCTACATTGTTATGGTTACTGGTGAAAAAAAGATGAGGATAGTATAACTGATTGGGGATCAATGATAACTGGGAAAATAAGAATGAACTAATGAAAAGGTTAACTGAAGTATGGTTATTGAAGTAATGGGGCTTAGTAGAATAGAATGTATCTTATATCTGCAATAGCTCTTCAACATATTAGGAGTTGTATGTTAGTTTAAACTTTCAGCTTTTTATTCTATTGCAGTTGCTGTATCCCATATTAATGTTCGTTTTTAGTTTTGTGGGGTTGCAACTTAAATTTTTTGGATGGTTGTTTTGGAAACAGGTGTAGAACCTATCAATCTGGGGACTTAACTAAGACTGATAGAGCAATTGATGAGATTATTGGGTTTGGTCAACAGGCCCCCTTTGTTTTATTTTTAATATATATATATATATAATATTGATTCGTGATTGATATGCCTCTAATTAATTAATAACTGTATATGATAACATTTTTAAAGGTCTCCTTATGAACTATCATGTATGTATTCATTTGGCATCATCAGACACAACAATGTAAAGTATCATTGTTTTCTAAAAATGATGTCTTAATAGGTAGCAAAAAATGGAGAGTTGGATTTTCCTAAGTTCTATGAGGACAACCACACTTCCAAGAAAACGAATGACTGGATCCATCCGAAATGCGGCGAGCTGCATGTAAGTATGTATCAATGAAATAATTGTATTCAATATTACTTTACTTAGTACCCAATAATATATATGTTAGCTAGTTTTTTTTGTCTTATTTATTTGTAATGACAACAAGAGATGGTCAATGTACAAGTGGCTGCCATCGAGTCGGGGACACCATTGACATAGGAGGAGCTTTCAAGGCAAGTGCTTGGAGAGAAGAAAAGGTACTTGCTTGGATTTGGGAACGGCCCACAACCCTCTACCATAGCTGCATCACGAGCACGTGATAAGGACACGGAGGCAATGAGAGCTGAGGTGGAGGCACATCGTGAGGAGCGACAAAAAGATCATGATGAGTTAATGAAACAATGAGAGGAGCGCGAGAGATTTTACAATGAGATGTTGAAAGAGCGAGAGGAGCACGTTCAATGTTACAATGAGACGTTGAAAGAGCGTGAGGAGGGACAAAAAGCAAGGGAGGAGACAAATACAAAGGTTGAGCATCTTAATAACGTAGTCGCCAAACTGTCACAACTCTTGGGAATCTAAGTTGGTCATCTGATGTTTGCTTTTTGGTAAGAACAATTTTATTGATGTCACACTTACTTTGTTTAAATATGTTCGCTTTAAGATTTGAAAATGCCATCAAGTTAGTCAGAAAGAAGGTGTTGGGAGGGTAAAAAATGCAAAATAGCCCCTGAACCACTAGTTAAGTGGATTCTAATTATAATTCTCCCCTGGTTGGTTCTGTTACACCGTGTTTCCATTTAGAATTTGTATTACAAATTGTGAAGGGAGAAGAAAATGGAAGGGAAAATGGAAAAAAAAAAAAGCATCTACTTCCCTCCATGAATTCTAGATCCAAACACATCAATAATGAACAAGAGTTGGGCATCCAGTACATTGAATATTTAAATCTAAAAATGATGTGGAATAATAACGCTGACCCCAAGCAATTGGGGCTAAGGCTTGTTGATTTGAATGTTTATAATTTGTCTATATGCACTTGTATGCAAGCATGCATACTTCCACATATACATTAACCAACATATGCATAGTGTAGATAGGTACTTTGTGTTTGGACCATAAGATGCTATTAAAATATATGGCCTACTGTTCTTACTTGACTCTTGTTCCCACTATACATGGTTGTAAATATGTAAATGCATTACCATTGCCATTCATATACTTGTATTAATTTCCTTCATCCTACTTTATATATATATATATACTTATGGATGCATATGCATAGTGTAGATAGGTACTTTGTGTTTGGACCATAAGATGCTATTAAAATATATGGCCTACTGTTCTTACTTGACTCTTGTTCCCACTATACATGGTTGTAAATATGTAAATGCATTACCATTGCCATTCATATACTTGTATTAATTTCATTCATCCTACTTTATATATATATATATATACTTATGGATGCATATATAATTTTTGTTTACTATGTATGTTATATATTCTGGACTATAGGCTGATTGTCTAGTATCATGGTCAAACTACAATGACAGGATTTTGCATTTTGATATTCTCTGGAACAAGTGAACAGATTCTGTGGCTTTTGATCAATCCTTTCTTTTTTCATTTTTTTTCCTGAGCACAATTTTGTACTAATTAAGAAAGAAAAAAGAGTTTAGAAAGTTACAACACAACCATGACATGCTATGCTACAAAGTAATTACATAATGGGAAGCTTCTCGATGCCAAATGTGACATGTAGGGACAGACGATACATAAATAGGACACATAGGTTGGGAGTTAGAGTTGAAAATGTCATAAAATTCGTCGAGTAAAGGTGTTTACGGGGCAAAAAAGAAAAACAGCCCCTGAACCACTATGTTTACATAACGGGATGCTTCCTGGTGCCAAATGTGATATGTAGGGATAGACGGTACGTAAATAGGACACCTACGTTGGGAATTAAAGTTGAAAATGTCATAAAATTTGTCGAAAAAAGGCGTTCAAGGCGTGAAAATGCAAAATAGCTCCCGAACCACTATTTTGGATGACTGGGATGTTTCCCGGTGCCAAATGTGACATGTACGGACAGATGGTACATAAATAGGACATATATGTTGGGAGTTAGAGTTGAAAATGCCATAAAATTAGTCAGAAAAAAGGCGTTCACTGGGCAAAAATGCAAAACAGCCCTCGAACCACTGTTTTTACGTAACAGGAAGCTTCCTGGTGCCAAATCTGACATGTAGGGATAGATGGTACATAAATAGGACACCTACATTAGGAGTTAGATTTGAAAATGTCATAAATTTAGTTGAAAAAAGGCATTCTGGGGGCGAAAATGCAAAACAACCCCTGAACCACTGTTTTTTCGTAACAGGAAGCTTCTCGATGACAAATGTGACATGCAGGGATAGAAAGTACGTAAATAGGACACATACATTGGGAGTTAGAGTTGAAAATGTCATAAAATTAGTCGGAAAAAGGCGTTCACGGAGCGAAAGCTTCCCAGTGCCAAATGTGACATGTAGGGACAGACGGTATATAAATAGGACACCTACGTTGGGAGTTAGATTTGAAAATGTCGTAAATTTAGTTGAAAAAAGGCGTTCGGGGGGCGAAAATGCAAAACAGCCCCCGAACCACTATTTTTTCGTAACGGGAAGCTTCCCGGTGACAAATGTAACATGTAGGGATAGAGTATCGTAAATAGGACACATATGTTGGGAGTTAGAGTTCAAAATATCATAAATTTAGTCAGAAAAAGGCGTTTGGGGGGCGAAAATGCAAAATAGCCCCCGAACCACTGTTTTTACGTAACGGTAAGCTTCCCGGTGCCAAATGTGACATGTAGGGACAGACGATACGTACATAGGACACCTACGTTGGGAGTAAGAGTTGAAAATGTCATAAAATTAGTCAGAAAAAGGCGTTCATGGCACGAAAATGCAAAATAGCCCCCGAACCACTATTTTTACATAACGAGAAGCTTCCTGGTGCCAAATGTGACATGTAGGGGCAGACGATACGTAAATAGGACACCTACGTTAGGAGTTAGAGTTGAAAATCTCATAAATTTAGTTGAAAAAAGGCGTTTTAGGGGCGAAAATGCAAAACAGCCCCTGAACCACTGTTTGTACGTAGCGGTAAGCTTCCCGGTGCCAAATGTGACATGTAGGGATAGACGGTACATAAATAGGACACCTACCTTTGGAGTTAGAGTTAGAAATGTCACAAAAATAGTCGAAAAAGCCGTTTGGGGGGCGACAATTTTTTTATGTGGTAGAATTTGAAATGCCCATGTCGTGGGTAACTATTTTGGTTTTACCATCTTAAACGATAGTTTGTTTTACTCTTTCCTTATTAGTTTATGTAGAACAATATTTTTAGTAAATTTTTTTAAACTTTTATTTGCCATAAATTCTTGTAGGTTTCAGTTTAGTGCTTTTGTTGACTGTGGCCCTTTTAATTGCCATAAACATAACTTTTTGGCATTAATTCATAGAATCGATACTCGTCTACCAGTCCATGTTTGGGTGTTTTTCATTATTTAATAGCTATTACTCTCCTTGTCTTTTAATGTTTAAAATTAATACAGTTGCTATATGTCGTCCGGAAGTGCCTCTATAGGCACCAAACTAATGACTTTTTTTTTTTTTTTTTTGCAAATGGTGTATATATAGTGGCTCGTACAAATTACTTTTTTGGTGTGGTAAATATTAGCTAATTTGGCATGGTAGAAATTAGCATAGCACGTGATACAAAATAGTTTTGGGGCAGTATAGATTAAATTTTTATTGTGGTACATATGTCATTTTCGATATTAAATTTGGTTATTCTTGTATTATGTATGGAATTAAATTATTGACGTTGGATTAGACTTGGTTTGTATGGAATTTGTATTATATATAGAATTGGATGTTCAATATTAATTTTTTGGATGGTTGGAAGTGAAATGTGTGCACATTGTTGAATGGTTGATAATATATTTAGCACTGATGGATTATATTGTTTATACAGGGTACAGGTTGTACTAATAATGGATACAGGTTGTTCTAATAATGGATACAGGTTGTTCAGAAATTAAAAAAAAAATAAAATTAGTATTTAGCCACCAAATATTTTGGTAGCTAAATACGTAATCAAATGTTTTGGCGACTAATAATTTAGTAGCAAAAACATAACCAAATAAGTTTCTGCAACCAAATAGTTAGTAGCTAAAACAATTGAGAATGAGAGAAAGAAACTATTGCCCACTAATTTTTTTAGTCACGGAAAAAAACGGCATCATTTGGCGACTAAAATGTTTGGTGGCAAAAAATAATGAAGTGAAACTTAAGAGGTTTTTGGCTATGATCAATTGTAGTCGGCAAAAGTCACAACGACAAAATGCTATGGTCGCTCAAAATATGTATTCTATTGGCGACTAACACGTCTCTATTAATTGGAAAAAATTTTACGATAGAACTTTCAGTGACCAACAATTTAGTTGCCGAAATGTCACCTTTGCCGACTAACTAAGGTTTTGTAGCTAAATGTTCACTTTCGGTGACCAATTCTTTAGTAGCAAAAAGGAACACCTTCCCCGACCAAACAAAGGTTAGTAGCCAAAAATCACTTTCGGCGACTAAAGGTTTTAGTAGCGAAAAGATAACATTTGCGGACTAAAACAAATTTAGTAGGCAAATGTTTCACTTTCGGTGACCAAAAAAAGTTTAGTCACCGTTATCAAAAAAAAAGTTTAGTCACCAATACTATCGCCGACAAGGTATAAACGACGAACTTGGCGACATAACTTTTTAGTTGCCAAATCGTTTTAGCGACCAAATCTCAGACTTTTGGTGACTAATATTTTAGTAGCCAAAAATGTCATTTCTTGTAGTGTGCTAACCTAACAACTAATTTCAGACTTTCATTGATGGAAAAAAAAATGACCTGAGATGTTAGTCATCGATGGTTTTAAATATTTTCAGGATTTTTTTTCTATTCTAATTTATTTTATGTATTATATAGTTTTTTATTTATTTATTAATTTTTTGGGAGGTTAGTTATATCAAAATGGGGATTAGACTCTCTGGACAGTTCAGTCTAGCCCATTTTGGGCACATCAAATATTTTATCTTCGTAAATAATCATATTGATCAGATCACATTTTGTTAAGAGTCAATATAAAATCTAAAATTTTGTATGAAAATCTAACATTTGAACGTGATTATTTCAATGTGAAAATCTAACATTTCACATTGTTTGGTATGAAAATCTAAAATTTCGTTGAGAGTCAATGTGACAAGTAATACCCAACATTTAAACTCTCTTTCTTTCTAATGATATACGTATATATATATATATATATATATTAATTTGATGTGTGTATTATATTTAAAATAAATTTGGGTTAAACATTTGTTTTTGAGTTCATGGCATTATTACTGCTGCTGTAGCTACTGCCAGGAAACGTGAAAAAAATCAGGTGTTTTTTTTATTTTTATTTTATCGAATATGTTTTTTTTTTAAAAAACAAATTATACTTTCTTATTAATTGAGAAGTAAGTTTTCAATTTTAAAAAAAAGTATTGTTTGGCATGTGCTAAATATTATTTTAGTACATCATTTTATTTGAGTTAGATAATCTTTTATTTAGATCACATCATTTCTCTACTATCTCATTTCGATACGAATTTATATTTAATATTTTTTTATTATAAAAAAAATATTAATCTACCACTTCCAAAATATCCTCTTTACATCAAACGAGAGAGAGAGAGAGAGAGAGATTAGATTTGGATTACGCACAACATTTTAAACATTATTACAAAATGCCTACAAATCTATGAGGACAAGCAAGCCCACTAAGAGCCCATT